TATATATATATATATATATCAGATATATATATATATATCTGATTTATAAAAAATGAATTTTCATGTAACTTTTCATAACAACAATTGTATAAACAAGTTATACAGGTATAAAAGAGGAAGCTAGTGATGGGTCATGGGACCTAAAAATACAGTGCTCAAAGGGCAGGAGTGTAATTGTAGTTAATAGGAATTTCAAGTTGTTTATATGATTGGTAGCTTCAAAGATGGAACACAGCAAGAAAGGACTTTTTTTTAAAAGGTGGTTTAAAATGAAGAGAGGTTACTAACATGAAAACTGTCCATGTAAACAGTGGGTAATAAAGTACCAGATAAGCCTAAAATACTGACTTCTTTTCTGGATGCATCACTCCTGGAAGCCAACTATGACCTGTTACAAAGAGGAGATTTTTGGTCCAGTTCTTGTGGTTCTGGAGACAGACACTTTGGATGAAGCCATCAAGATTGTAAATGACAATCCATATGGAAATGGAACCGCCATCTTCACCACCAATGGAGCCACTGCTCGGAAATATTCCCACCTGGTGGATGTTGGACAGGTTTGTGAACAGAGTTCTTAGGAGATTCTTGTACTCATATACTGTTTACTATCTAAGGGAAACAGCAAAGTGATCGGTTGTTGCGCCTCTGATTTCCTACAGTGCCCCATTTCTTCCTCAGGAATCACAGTTCATGGGATACAGGAAGGAATGGGATAGAAGTTGGGGTATTTAAAATCCGTTTGTCTGATGCCAAGCATTTGTGCTTCTAAATGGAAAGTTCCTTTGTTTGAGTCCTTTTATTTATGTGGATTTGTTCTGCTTTAGGTGGGGGTAAATGTCCCTATTCCAGTGCCTTTGCCAATGTTCTCATTCACCGGTTCTCGATCTTCCTTCAGAGGAGACACCAATTTCTATGGCAAACAGGTAACTTTAAGAAAATATTGTTTTCCTCTAAGAAACTTTCTTGAATATACTCAGGAACAAGGATTCTGAAAGGAAGGCCCTGACATTAGCTTCTGTTGGGTCATAAGTTGTTCAGCCATGCTTATCAGGATGTTCCCTAGAGAAGATTTAAAATACAACAAGATTCCGTCAAAGCTGCTGCTCCCTGACTAACTCAAGGCAGCAAAGTTTTGGGGAAAGAGCATGAGGAAGTCCAAGCCTTTACGTATGTCCTTTCCTCTGAGAGCCTTTCCTCCTGCCTCTCCTCTTTCATCTAAGTCTTAATCATCTGTCTTGTCTAAGTTTGAATCATGGACTGACTCCTCCAGAAAATCACCTCTGACTATCACCACCCCTTTCCTCAGTGCTGGGTTGGGAATGCCCCCATGTCCTCCCACTGCACATTTTTCTCCTGTAAGTTATTCACTTACAAAACAAATTTTTAATGTTCATTTATTCTTGAGAGAGAGAAAGAGTGTGAGTGGGGGAGGGGCAGAGAGAGAGAAGGAGACCTAGGATCCGAGGCAGGCTCCAGACTCTGAGCTGTCAGCACAGCCAGACACAGGGCTTGAACTCACGAAATGCAAGCTCATGACCTTAGCCAAAGTTGGGTGCTTAACTGACTGAGCCACCCAGGCACCCCTTCATTCACAAAAATTTTACTGAATACCTTCTTTGTACCAAAACTATTCTAGGCATTATGGATACATTATGAACAACAAAAAAAATAAAGCAGATTTGGTACAGAATGGCCTGGGGTCAAATTCCAGCTTGGCCTGTTATTAATTGCATGACTTTGAGGAATATCCTGTGTCTCAAGTTTCTTATCTATAAAATGAGAATAACAATAGTACTTATATTTCATAAGTTTATGAAGATCAAATCACCATTGTTACCACATCCTTCAGCAGATGCATATTTCCTAAGACGAGGCATGGCAGGTTCAAATAGCAGAAATGGGCTGGGGCACAGAGAGTGAATGAGAAGGAGAGTGGTAAGAGATGAGGTTAGAGAGGCAGGGGGAATCCTGTAGGGCTGTGTAAGCCAAGATAAGAACACATCACATTGTAATTATTTACTTAACTGCAGTACCTTGCACGGAGCAGGTGCCCAAACATGTGTTTAACAAATGGGCTAGTGAAAGTTCTTTGTAACCCCACAGAGATACAGCCATTTTGGAACCTTCAGTAATAAACTACATGTTTTCTATACAGGACTCTCTTTTATACTTTAATTAAAAAAAAAAATTAACAGTAGCATTGCATAGCAGAATGTAACAGTGTGACCAGCTGGTTAAGAAAACATATTGGGGGACACCTGGTGGCTCAGTCAGTTGAGCGGCCAACTTTGGCTCAGGTCATGATCACAAGGTTCATGAGTTCGAGCCCCGCATCAGGCTCACTGGTGTCAGCACAGAGCCCACTTCTGATCCTGTCTCCCTCTCTCTGCCCCTCCCCTGCTCGCTCTCTTTCTATCTCTCAAAGAATAAACATTTTAAAAAAAAAAAAAGGAAAACATTTTGGTTATTTGGAGGCAGATTATTCAGTTTGCACATTAGTCACAGCTTTTGCATAATCGATTACTTTGATTCTATTAACAAAAATTTCTTTTGAGGGAAGCAGAGTAAAACTCTTGCTTTTTTTCTCCCTGTCTTGGTTTAATTACTGTTAAGTCATCCTGGTAAGTGAGGTTTCTTAGAGGCAAAGACTGACCCCATACAGTTTGAAGTCTTAAATTCTTAGGTAATCAAATTGCTATTTTGGGGTGCCTGGGTGGCTCAGTCAGTTAAGCATCAGACTTTTGATTTTGGCTCAGGTCATGATCCCAGAGTCATGAGGTCAAGCCCTGAGTAGGCTCTGCCCTGGCCGTGGAGCCTGCTTAAGATCCTCTCTCTCCCAGGGCGCCTGAGTGGCTCTGTCAATTAAGTGTCCAGCTTTGGCTCAGATCATGATCTCACAGTTCATGGGTTCGAGCCCATGTCAGGCTCTGTGCTCACAGCTCAGAGCCTGGAGCCTGCTTCAGATTCTGTGTCTCCCTCTCTCTCTGCCCCTCTCCTGCTCATGTTCTTTCTCTCTCTCTCAAAAATAAATAAACATTTAAAAAAATTAAAAAAAATTTCTCTCCCTTGCTTTGCCCCTCCCCCTCAAAATAAATAAATAAAGTTTAAAAAAACGAAAAGCTTAATTAAAAAAAAAGATCCTCTCCCTCTTCCTCTGCCCCTCCCCCCTTCATATTCTCCTTCTCTCAAAAAATTGCTACTTTGTATTCTTTGGGAAAATAGAGAAGAAAGAATCATTCTCATAATAAAATGACAACTTTAGTTATATTGAAAGTATATAATAACTCTAAAGCCCTTAATATATATATTAACATGGCCCAGATTTTGTCAAATAATTCTAGAAGAGTATTTTAAAGAAGCTGTTGTGGTTTTTTCTAACATTATCTTTCTAGCTTGCTAGTTTTTTTTGTGTTAGATCTGCACAGTCTATTCTCCTTTGCTCAAGCCTATTCTTACAAAATAAACTGTATATAAAGCCTTACATATGAATTTTTTTGGTTCACATTACAGGTGCTTTAGAAGTGAATGTGTGTAGTATCAGACAGTTTAGATTTGTAAGATATTGTGGATTTTACTACTTTAGCATCACTGACAGTTGTCAGAAATGGCCTAATATGTATTCTATCCCTTCATGCCTTTTTCTTCTTCACAGAAAAGAGAGAAAAACTAACAGTTATTGAACAGCAGTTACTTTGCTAGGACATTTGAAGGTCATCTCATTTTCCCCTCACAGCGAGGTGAGCCACAGGTCACAGATAAGGCCCAGTGTTACATGGCAGTCAATAAGGAGGAGAGGCAGGATTTGAGCCAGGTCCTAATATCTCAGAGCACACATTCAGCTCTAGGAATAGAATGAACTGCAAGTTTAACAGATTACACTGTTCAATTTTTCCATTTAGATCCTCTTGACTAGTTTCAGCATAATGATAGGTAAGGTTTGACTATTTATTTACTATGCCAGGCATTGTGCTAAATGTGTTAAATAGATTATCTCATGAACAATATGTTGGATTTTGGTTGCACCAGCTCCTCAAGTGGCAACATTAGTAACGCTTTACAGCACCTCCTTCAAAAGCTGATTGAAAGAGAAATCATGAAACCCCCAGGAATATATGCTCTTTTTTTTCCTTTGTTCTCTTTAGGGCATCCAATTCTACACTCAGCTAAAAACCATCACTTCTCAGTGGAAAGAAGAAGATGCTACTCTTTCCTCACCTGCCGTAGTCATGCCTACCATGGGCCGTTAGAAACAAGTTTGTTCCAGATTCAGTCCACCCTGAGTAATCTCCCTCTGTTCTTGACCAACTTCAGTTGCCAACTCTGCTCAGATCAGATCTCTAGGATTGGAATACCTGGTAATTAAAACCTTTCTCAAGACCATTGGCCCCTGCAAAGTTGTTCTGGGGAGATTCCTAGTCTGACTCTGAAAACAGATTTTCACTTGCTCCTTACTTTGGTTTTTGAGGGAACTGTTGTTAACTCTGAAACACTTATATGGAATGAGATCTTAGGTTATTTTCTAAAAGTTCTCCCCTTTTCTGATGACTTGCGGAAGGGAAGATAGTGTATGTAAAGAAGATCTTCCAATAACTGGAAGAGGACTTCTTGGATGGGGAAACAGGACAGAAATTAATTCACCCTTTGGTTGATCCTCAAACACAGCCCTACATAAATGGCAGTGGGGGGGGAGACCCCTCTGCCAAGCTTTCCTGAGCCTGTCATTTATCCCACACTATGAAGGACATAATCCATTTCTACTTATCCCGTGGTTGTGACAACTGCTTTCTTTTCTGCTAAATGCCACTTTGTCCTAGTGATTCATGACCACTAATTACTAATTCTATCATTGTCACTGTTCCTACTTCTTAAAATCACTTCTCAAGGATACCTCAGTATGTACTGGATAAATCAACTTTTTGTTGTGTGTGCCAAGTGTTAAATTTCACATTTGGCTCCAACAATCATTAATGCTTCAGTCATTAATTCAGATGCAAATGGAGTTTTTTAAGAGAACTATTTCAAAAGGTTTTTAGGGCCAGAAATCAAGGGGTATTCCAGCCATGAAAGTGTGCAAGACTCTTGCCTTAAGTAAGTGTAACCAGGTATTACTTGTTGAATTTTTTATATTGTTCTTTCTTCTTGCTTGCATTTCTCGTTAGTGATAATTTTTAACGAAAGAACTCTTAATGTAGAGTAATTCATTGGTGCCTAAGAAATTTCAAGGCTCTTCATGACATGAAATAGTAAAAAAGAAATGCTTTGACAGATTCTTCTGCAACCATTATATTCAAGTGTCTTTATGCCTTTTCTTTTGATATAGCTAAACTTTATGTCAGAACAGAAACTGATGAGCTAAAAAAACAGATTCCCAACCGAATCAAGTCTTTTCGGATATAGTTTTTACCCAGTGAACTAGGAGATGGCTGCTGGCTCTGATAGAATAATCTTTGGTCCTCAGCCAGATGATATAGGTCATTTATTTTTTCTGCTCCCTCATGAGTCACTTGGATAATGCTAATCTGCTCCATGGCAGTGATTCAGTGAACTAAGGATATGAAAACTTTGAAAACATTTGTGCACTCTGTGGATTTTAATACTACCACTGCTGGATAGAGTGTCAGAATCTTCAATCGCTTAAGGTGACTGGAACCTTAATAAAATACATTTATGACCCTAATGGGTTTATTGGTTTTTGGGGGGTTTTTTGTTTTTGTTTTTTTTTTTTTTGGATTTGCCTTCCTAAATGTGAGGCAATAAAAATTTATAATTTGATAATAGAATGCCCTTTATTTTCTTTCTACTTATCACAGCTGACAACTAATAGTGATACTTAATCCAATCCAACAGCTATAGGCTGGGTTGAATGAAAGCTCATATTGTCTAAATTCCAACTGGAATTAAATATAATCCCAGAGATTCCTATGTTTTCCTTATATTTAAGGGAATCACTTTTGTAAAAATACTGACTCATCAGAATTGTGTTGCTCTAATTGGAATCAACTCATTTGTCTAGCTACTTGCTACTCAAAAGAGTTTCTTGTTTCTTATATGGAAAAAAATATGCAGTTATATTCATGCTAATAGCATCTTAAAAATTTAGTGTGGCCTCATTTGAAATTTCTCAGATCCTATGTTGTACTAATTGATTATGAATAAAAAATTACAAATAAAAAGCTCTTAAAAAGAAAACCTGGCTTTTTTGTTTTGTTTTTAAATGTTTATTTTTGAGAGAGAGAGAGTGCAAGTGGGGAGGATCTGACAGAGGGAGACACAGAAACCCAAGCAGGCTCCGCACTGCCAGCACAGAGCCAGATGTGGGCTCATGAACTGTGAGATCGTGACCTGAACCGAAATCAAGAGTTGGACGTTTAACCAACTGGGCCACCCAGGTACCCCTGGCTTTTTGTTTTTAATAATGCCTTCCTACATAATTCCTTTGTCCCTAGCTTATAGGGATTCAGACTTCCCAATTCTGTTCAAAGCCATTATGTTTATTATTACATAATATGGTCATTATGCTTATTATTACATAAAAGTACATATTTTGGCTAGCCTTTATACTTCACAAGACAATTTATAGGTTTTTCCACATTTACTAAAAGAGGCACAAATGTGCATTCGCATTAAGTATAATATGCCTGCCATAGTGTAGACATGCTATACATGTGTTATTACTCATTTCACTGATCACTGAGAGCTCTTGGCTAGTAGAGAAAAGCACTATGACTTAGCAAGAAGTTCCATGGGGGAAAGGAAGTGTTTAGATTATAGACTCCTTACTATATCAGACTCTTGTGATTCTTTCTGAATATTGGGTATCATCAGTTCACCAGAAGAGTCTGAGATTGGTACTTGCTGGGTGATGAAGGTTTGATCTTGAAGCTTACTGTCATCCCTGCAATGACGACAAAATGACAGACCTGTCAACAACCACATATACATGGAACTTGGTTCAGAGCAATAGACTTGTCCTACAACTCCCAGTCAGTTCTGGCACATATAAAATGTCCACCACCACCACTGTGATCAGGCTCACGTTCATTACCTTGTCAAGACAGCTCTTACCCAAATTCCTTTGTTTCTCCATCATCAGCAACAACATAGTCTGGAACTGAAGGCCTAGAGCTCTGGCTATATTTTCTGTGGTAGATAAAAGTTAACAATGAGGCAGTGTCTCCTCTTGTCCCATATTTCAACTGTGCTTTTTTTTTAAGTGTATTTATTTGAGAGAGAGCATGCGCACATGTGCATGAAAAGAGGAGGGGCAGGGAGAGAGAATCCCAAGCAGGCTTCACGCTAAGAGTGCAAAGCCCGACTCGGGGCTTAATCCTATCAACTGTGAGATCATGACCTGAGTCAATACCAAGATCAAGAGTCGAATGCTTAACTAATAATCATGATGATGATATTCCTCCAATAGCTATTAACGGTGATGCTTAAGACTGAACCAGAGTACTGACCAAAAACATGGCCAGAGAAATTCCCTTCCCACAAAAAGAACCTCAGAACATAGAAAAAATATCCAATGGTGATGGACCCAGTATGAAAATTTCTCCTCATACTTTGGCAAGTTTGGTTTAAGAACAGGAAGTAATCATATCACTGATTGAATACTCTAATGGAAAGTGAGCTGAACAGGATTATAAAAAGTACAGTAGGGGGGTGCCTGTCTGGCTCAATTGGTAGAGCATGTGACTTTTGATCTCAGGGTTGTGGGTTTGAGCTCCACATTAGGTGTAGAGATTACATAAAAATAAAATCTTAAAAAAAAAAAAAAAAGGCATAGTAGGTTGATTTGCCAGCAGGTAAGGACACATGCTCCACTTCTAAAACTTGTCCTCAAGTTGGTACATAGGAAAGCAGAATAAACCCATTCAAAATATGACTGTATTAAATAGTCTAATAATTATGCATGAGAAAAATATACTTTGGGGGTTCTTAGGTGGTTCAGTTGGTTAAGCGTCTGACTCTTGGTATCAGGTCATGATCCTGTCATGAGGCTGAGCCCCACATCGGGCTCCATGCTAAATGTGGAGCCTGCTTGGGATTCTCTCCCTCCCTCCTCTCTGCCCCTCCCCTGCATTCATGTGCTTGCACATGCGCTGTCTCTCTCACTCTCAAAATAAATAAATAAACATTTAATTTTTAAAAATGTACTTCGGATACTACTAGTACCTGAGTTATAGCCAGTGTGGTTGCTGGTGCACTAAAGAGTGCAGTTTATTGGTTATACTCCTTGACTTTGTCCAATCACAAAAATAGCATACTGTTAGATTCACAATCATACAATCAATTGAACTCTTAATGAACTTCCTAACTGCTCTGCTTGCCCTGGTAGACCATTTATCATCTAATCTCTCCCCAGTCTGGTTTGAGCTTTCTCATTTAATCTCATCTTCACCACACATTTCACTATTCGATTCCCATCTTCTTTTCCCTTCAACCAGCTCTGATATGAGATTCCAACAGGCTTAGACATCATTCCATTGCAGCTAGATTTAACTTCATTGCTTTGGTGCAAAGATTTCACTCACATTTCTTCGTTTCTGCAGTATTGAAAACAACATAGTATGGGACTTGAGACCTAGAACTCTGGTTGTTTCTCGGAGCACAGAAAAGTCAACTCACAATGAGACAGACATTCTGTAGCTATAGTCTGGATTCTACCTCCCCCTCTAAATAAAAAAAATAAATAAAATAAAATAAAATAAGACTCTTTGGAAGGCTCCCAGAGACAAAAGACCATTTCAAAGTCTTCCATCTTCCACTTAGCCTAAAATTCTTTAAACTCTTCTCTTTTGGCTGTCCTCTTCCTTGTTCTCCTATTCACTGCTGTGGTTATTTCTAGCCTTGGCCCTTTACCCTTCTACCTTCATACAACCTCCTACACTCAACTACCAATTTTTACTAAATATGCTCAAATCTCCTTCTCTAAACACCTGTACTCGAATCAAAGAGTATTTTTCGTTTCAATATACTGCCATCATCTCCAGTTCAACATCGAAAACACTCCTTGCTATTTCTTCTGCCCAGAATGTTTTTTCCTCTACCCTCTCTTCCTATATACCTTTCAGAGGTCAGCTCAAGCTTTTATTTCCTCATAAACTTTCCTGACCTCCTCAGTTGGGTCATAGTCCCTTAATCTAGCCTCTCTTACCACTGTATGCCACTTCTTTGAGCCAATCTCATAGTTGTCCTTTAATATTTGTGTGATGATTTGAATAATGTTTTCTTCCCACATAGACGA